CATTTGCTTCCAAACACAGTTTTATACGTTGGGCATACTTCCTATGAGAGAGGTTAGAGTCTCGTGGGTAAGAGAGTCCCAATATCGCACCACCTCGCGCTTCATGTCATCAACTTTTGTCAATCCCTTTTGGTTCACCGAAACCTTCATGAGTCCCCACACATTTTCTATAGGATTTAAGTCCGGGCTGTAGCTGGGCCAGTCCAAAACGGTCACATTGTTGTCCTCAAACCACTGCCGCGCATGTCTTGCGGTGTGTTTGGGGTCATTATCCTGTTGCAAAATCCAAGTATTTCCATAAAAAAAACATTTGCATTTGGGTCAGGTGAGCTTCCAAAATGTCTGTATACCTTTCACTGGTTAAAGTACCCTCAAAAACACACATGGGCGTCGTTCCAAGTGAAGATATCCCTCCCCAAACATGAAACTTCGGACTGTACTTTGGTCTCTGGTACAATGGAACTGAATGACATTTTGTCCACATTTTAACATTGTTAGGATACACCCATACAGAGCTCTCATCTGTGAAAATAACACTGTTCCAGTTACATGCGCCAAACACCACTCTACACGTCTATCCTTGTGTTCTTGTTTCAAGAGCGGAGAGGCAATTCCTTTCTTTTTTTCTCATCCAAGTTCAATCAAATTTCTTCTTACTGTAGATTTGGATACATTTACTGTCCCTCTATTTACCATTTCATGTTTGATATTTGAAATACTCGCCCTTCTGTTTTTAGAAGCCAAAATACCCAGTCTCACACGATCTCCAAACACCAGTTTTCGAGGTCTCCCCGCTCCTTTTCTGTGCTCAATTTCTGAACCATTCTCAATATTCTTCTTGACTCTATACACTGTAGAAAGAGGAACATCTGTGCTCTTTGCTAATGTAGCAGCATCAGTGATGCCTTCATAATGGAGCTGTAGAATCAATCTTCTTTTCTCCTCTGCACTCATTTCTGACATATATCAGAAAAAGTCGTCTGCTCTATAATCAAGGGAGATAACTCTAATTTGCTTCTATAATTGAAGAAGAGTTGCTTCCCTTTGACCATACCTTAATTTTAAACACTTGTCAATATTTATATTTTATGTATGCTTCCTTGAATATGACATTAAAATTCCCAATAATTTTGAACCAGACTATACATACAGCTCTATTGATCATGAGGTTGTCATTCGAATGGCGGACGTTGGTAGTACTGTGCAACTGTGCACATCATCTACTGTGCTCCCAGATGAATAATGTACACCCGACAGACACTTTAGGCACCAGGCTTGGTGAGTTTGTCATAGAGTGCCTGAAGATCAGTTTGTTGGAGAGAAGAAGATGAAGGTAAAAAAAGTGAGCACAATGTGAAAACAATGTTTAGAGTTAAACGGACAGCAACAGCTTGAAGTGTTGTATTCAGTGGAACAGGGCTATGTACATGTATAACACCCTGTCTCACTAACACAGAAGATCATCCGTTAGCCCAAGGCCCTTGAGGAGAAAAAAGTTATATGAATTGTATTGTTTCAAATTGATTATATCACTATCTTTAAAATTTGCTTCTTGTAAACATAATGCTGATGGCTTAATATCCTGTATCAGTAACTGTAAATCATTAAAATTATTCTTTAGTCCCCTGCAATTCAACTTAATAATATAATTGGAGCCGTTCAGGGAGGCTCAACTGGACGTCGTCTTGAGCGACAGGGAGCTCTATTCCCACGAACCGGGAGTGAGGGACGGACTTACCATAGACAGAGGCTAAAATGGAGTATGAACCTCTACTGTGGTGGCAACAAGATAAGGCAACTCCATGTGCTGTGGCGAGCCCTTATCTTTTTTAACTTCTTATTCTTCTTTAGTCAGATGGACTTCGCCCTTCTGACGAGGGCGTTTGCTTAGATTGCAGAATCTGAGGTGGTGACAATGTAAGAGATATTTTGTCTGGGTAGAAGAAGTAGATATCAGATTGTAAAATATCTGTGCATCGTTGATGATAAACTGGTCATCCTTAACCAAAGAGATTAAAGTTTGACAGAAAGTAGAGGCGGTAGTGATTTTGACAAATGGTGTCGGGAAAGAGACTGCAGCTGAATAAGTTTAATTTGACGGGGATTGAGAGAGAATTGGGACTAATTCTTTTGGCATCTGAGTAAGAAACATTTTGTGTATGTTTTATTTTTAAGATTTGTGATTCACAAATAAACGATCTCATTAGTGCACTCTGAACTCATGCGTTCCACTGCAACGGAAGCACCTAGCCTAGTTTTGGCCCCGTGTCCTAACCTCTGACACTTGTAACACCTGAGTGGATTTGGAACACAACCCTCCACTCCAGATTTGTTGAAAGTCGTTGCGAATACAAAGTGGGGAGGTGATCAGAAAACCCTCCTCAAAATGTATGGGTCATTCATCCACTCTAGATTTGACAATGGCTCCATTTTTTATGGTGGAGCCTCTAATAGTTACTTTAAATTAGTTACACAAAATTGTTTCTATTCACCACCAGGGTTTACAATCATGTCTTGGCGCATTTCGAGCCTCTCCTATTGATAGCACATATGTTGAAGCTGATGAACCTTCTTTGAACTAACGCCGTATCAAATTATCACTTCAGTATTTTACTAAGGTCAGAGTGACGCCACAACACCTTTGGACTAGGCAAAAAAAAGACATGAGGTCATGCTGTGCTAGGCATTTGTTTTAAACTGACAAATTTGCAGCTTTGAGGCGTTGCTTAGAACCACTTGGTGTTTTTTTTTAAAAAAAGAAGTGTGTCATCAGGGAAATGCCATCATATTTCCTATGAGTGTGTAGGAATTGACGAAGAGCGTGGATACCAGGTGTCCTCGATACATAATAGTTAAATTACTCTTAAGATGTTAAGGTGTCCAGAACTTTGTGTTAACGCCAAAAACTGTGATAAAATCCAAACATAGATTTGTAAAATACAGTGAAAAACAGACCGTAGCTATAGGTGCAGAACGGTCCATCACACTCTCGAAACAGAGTGCTTTCACTTGCACAACTCTACGAGCAGGACACACCAACAACGGAAAAACGTGGATGCGACAGCTGTCAATGTCCTATGTCTAAATAAATAAAAATGTCTGAGGGATGTTCAAATCTCAAGTTGTTATGTTATTGCATTAATCGTGGAACACATCTAGCTATATTCACATGCTGTCTTTATTCACCAACGCTAGAATGAAAGGATGTGTGTATTTTGATTTATTATGTGAATGCACACGTGGTAGGTGTGTTTATGTTTAACGCAGCTGACAAAGTGTATTGAGCAAACTTATAAAAAACTCAGCATGTCTTAAATATGATGAAGGGTTGTGTTATACTGTTAGAAAAGTAACGATTCTGACAAGTGGCTACCCAGCCTACCCCTGCTATCACTGTTCATAGCTGCCCTTCTTCAGAAACCTCGGTGAGTGCCAGAAGTGAGTGACAGAAAATACCAATAAACAGAATGGAGGATTAATTTCACATCATGTCAGACAGTGTGAATTAGTGTTGCGTGAATGCGAGTGAACTTTATTTTTGTAAATTTGTTATTAATTTTTTTGATACTATTTTCATCGTTCAAAATATACTGAATTCAAGATTGGAACTCACAAGCAAAACGTCACAACACTGAAATAGAAAAGGACTTGTTTTGATAAAGATATTACGTTTGTTATCTGGATGAATTTTAAAGGGAGAAATGGGATACAAATGGTGATATTAAACAGGTCGGGATATAATCAGCTGCTGGAGTTTGACTTATTTTCGTTACACTGAAACACATAAGAGGAAGAAAGCAGCTAGTTTTATTACCAAGGTCTTCTTTAACGTTAAACGAATACACAAATAGAGCTTTTGCAAAAATGCAGATGCATGTCACAATGAGTGATTGAGTTGGGTTTTAAAGCCGCTTTTAACAGTATTCCAGTTATATCGCGGCGTGTCAGCTTAATGTGGGACGAAAGTCCAAAGTGATGCAGGTCTAAGACGTTTACCACTTCGGTGACACCCACTAGCAGGGGTGTGGTGCTGACAAACCTAGAAACATAATCGGGGCGGAATGACACAGTAGATATGAAAGTGTAAATGTGCAGGTAAATATTAAAACTCGCATGGGTAAATTATCCATTCATTAAAAACGCGAACAACAAGCAAAATATCAGATTCTATAAAATATTGCCAGAAGTGAACATTTAAAACTAGAAAAATCTACAATAACATATAAACATCTTAAATGTATTTTTGCATGAGAGGAATATAAATGCCCACGCGCCTTGCCTTAACCAAACATCTGTGAGGGAACTGCTGATATTAATCTCATTATGTGCCAAAAGATAGTTTTCTGACTAAAAGTTTCAGTATATATCCTTATACCGTTGTCAGCTTCGCTTGACAACGGTATAATAATCTATACTGAAACGTCGCCTTTACAGTAAATAATGAATTAGGTTGAAAAGAATTTTCAAAAAAAGCTTTTAATTTAAATTGTTTGATAGGCATTACTTAGAAGTTGACGGATGACAAAGTAGAGATCATTTATGGATAACAACTTCTTTATTTACTGTAAAGACGACGTTTCGGTATATGGATCCTTATGCAGGTATCAGCCTTGCTTGACAACGGTATAAGAGTCAATACCGAAACGTCGCCTTTACAGTATGTAAAGACGTTGTTATCCATAAATTATCTCTACATTGTCAGCGTTTAAAGTGACCCTATATTCACTGGACACGTTAAAGTCATTGTCGATAAAATCTAATGAATTTAAATACACTATATGTGTATTTATTAACTATATCTGGTTGGGTGGTTGGTTGGTTGGTTGGTTTGTTGTTTAACGCCGCACTCAGCAATATTCCAGCTATATGACGGCGGTCTGTAAATAATCGAGTCTGGACCAGACAATCCAGTGATTAATATCATGAGCATCGATCCACGCAATTGGGATCGATGACATGCATCAACCAAGTCAGCGAGCCTGACCACCCGATCCCGTTAGTCGCCTTTCACGACAAGCACAGTCACCTTTTACTGCAAACATGGGTTGCTGAAGACTTATTCTACCCCGGACCTTCACGGGTCTGGAAACACATAAGATTCACTGTATATTGAATTATTAATATGTGAATAAATAAGCTCAGATGAGGCCGTTGAGATGTGGATAAAAAGGACCAAGGTCCAAATGTCGAAACAGTCAATGAAATATGAAATAAGGTACCACATACTGACTGCTGTATATGCTAAATTACATAAAGCAGTTAAATGAGTACAATATTTGCTGGTCGTTAAAAATGGATGAAATACCGTGAGTACCTTTTTAAAATACAGTTTCAATTTTTGACACAGATTGTTGGGAACAGGACGTCATGACAGATAACTTCAAATTACCAAACATTTATCGGCCTTGATTGTTGTTGGACGCTGAAGTTAGTGACATTACAGATGTATCAGGACGGCCTGTAAATTATCGTGTCTGAGCCAGGCAAACCAGAGTTTTGAAAGTACAATCAACGTCTCACATCGCTGAGGTAACATGACAAACAATCTACCAAGGCACAGATCCCGATCCCCCTTCACGACTCTGACATAAACGTGCCACGCTGGGAATTATTCTGACCCGAAATCCTGTGTTATGAAAAATGAAAAGCGAGCCTGTTAGTGTGAAATCCATCACAGTTCAACTATTTTCGGCAATCACAAACATTCTAATTTGCACAGGGCTATAGTTAAGTGAGTGCGGCCAGGACAGTTGAGTCGGGTCCGATGTCTTGTATTGAACTGATGGAGGTTGTGGCTGCCCTGTGGGGTTGAAGCCGTCACATGTGGTGAACCACCACCCTGACTGGTGGATATTGGCACAGTTGCCATTGTTGTCGTTGTCGTTGTCAACATCATAAGTGGAGAATCTAGATCCGAGAAATGCAGACATCCCATCAATCGCTGGATTATTGTCGACACCGGGTGATCCAGCGGACGAAAACGTGAAGTTATAACCATATGACTCACTGCTCACCTGAAATTAAACATTCTTCCGTTTCATACAATGGTTAACTCACTTTCAGTAACTCTAACTTATAAGAATTGAATTGTACATAAGGAGTAAAATTCCACATAAAATACAAAGAACGATCAATACATTAAATCAGTAGCTTAGTGACGGAATTGGATGACACGGCACTTTGGGCAGTATGTCAAAACGAGTAGGCTTCTTATTAGAAAAGGCCAAAGTGACCCAGAAGGATTCCTTTATGATTGCATAATGTTGAATATGCAATATTTCAGCCATATGAAATCATGTTCATTGTGTATTTGTTAGTAATTCAGCAATTTTTAAGTCCTATAGTGAGACAGCAAATCAAGCAAATCACGGAACATAATCAACCCCATACATTGTCGTCGCCTTTTACAACAAGCCATAGAGTGCCTGGGTGTTATTCGAAAGAATAATCACTGAACATAGTTTATCCTTCACTGCATACCGTACTATAGGGGCACATGCAGTATGTATTTAAACCTACTGCCAATCACTGATATTCTCTACAAGTAGTGCAAGAAACAAATATGTAGTAAACTTTGATTGTTGTACATCGTACACGTATTTCGGGGCAACATGGTTTACAGGTTAAACATATTTTATGAGGGCTGGTCAAACAGTTCTAAGCCTGACTAACTTTCAAATGTGGGTCATAACAAAGTGAACTAAAGCAGTTACAACTGTATTTGGTCTGTTGGGGTCGTTTGTATATTAGTGACAGCCAGTTGAATGTGATAACCGTCCAAATGGACTCAGAAACGGGAAAGAACGAGTACCGAGCATTCATCAAGCTGTATTTTTAGAGAAAAGTATTCCCCAAGTCATGTATGACCGCATGTTACAAGTGTATGGATATAAGTGCTCCAGCTATTCCACTGTTAAACGTTGGGCAGTTATGTTTAAGGCTGGGAGAACAAGTCTTGGTGATGACTCCAGATCTTGACGTCCCTCAACTTCCATCAATGAAGATTCAATCAAGGAGATAGAAAAACTTATGCAGTCAGATAGAATTGCTGAATCTGAGGAAGACACGCATGGAGACATCAATGAACATTTACAGATGAATAACATATCTGTTCGTTGGTTGGCAAAGTTTCTAAATTCTGACATTACCAGAGACAATTTAGAGCCAATTGAGGAGGATTTCGTCACATTCAAAAATAAATTAGTAGCGGATGATGAAACATGGGTCTACCATAATTATCCCAAGTCAAAACGTCAATTTATGGAATGGTACCATTCCACTTCTCTGGCCCCAAAGAAATTCAAATCTTCAAGATCAGTGAAGAAAGTTATGGCCACTGTATTCTGGGTTGCAGAGGGTGTGATCCTTGTTGATTACATAGAAAGTCGAAAGATGATTAACGTTGGCGGCTGTGCTGATTTGCTTCGTCGCCTGGGAGATTCTATAGAAGAAAGGCAGCGAGGAATAATGCCTCTTATCACCCCGCTCGACTTGCAAAGGCTACTCCCTCAATACTTGCTAGACCTGGCACCAAGTTTTTTCCACCTGTTTCTTTAACAGAAAGAATACCTTAGTGGAAAGCGCTATGACAACAACGATGACCTCAAAGCAGCAGTGAATAGGTATATCAGGGTGGCTTCAGAAATTTTCTTTCTGACTGGAATTGAAAAGACTCACTATCGATGTGAGAAGTGTATGGAAAAGCAGGGCGATTATGTTGAAAAAAAACCCCAAAACCTGTTTCACAATTGTTGGTTTTGTTTGTCGGGCCTCAAATGTTTTGACCATCCCTAATATGCTAAAATAAATTCAATTCTATTATATTTTAGGAACAAACACCAATTCGCATTATGTTATTCAAAAAGTCTGCCTGTATGCTGGTAAACGTTTCTGAGGGTTAAACGTACTATGCCACGTATTGGTTTTCACGGAATGTACGCACTTGTAAAGTCATCAAATACCAGATAAGATTACAAATGATGACAGCACTAAGTTATCTTAAAATGTGTTGTAAAATGATTTTATTGTTCAGCGTAGGGGAGAAAAAATAAACTCCAAATGTTATACAAACATAAAATGGATATGCGTGGACATTATATAGTGAGTGAGTGAGTATGGTTTTACGCCGCTTTTAGCAATATTCCAGCAATATCACGGCGGGCGACACCAGAAATGGGCTTCACACATTGTACCAATGTCGGGAATCGAACCCGGGTCTTTGGCGTGACGAGCGAACGCTTTAACCACTAGGCTACCCGACCGCCCCGACATTATATAGAAAAGGCAAGGTTATTAAGGAGATAAATCTACTGTGTTTTGAAATTTGACGTAGTCCCACTGTACATGTAGAGAAGATAATGTTTCACATGTATAAATAAGAGGTATCTACATTGTACTACGTCAAATTTCAAAACGCGGTAGGTTTATATCCATTCTACCATGACGGCAACAACGCTTTGTAAAAAAGTTGACAAACAGCCCAAACCTCGTCCAACGATAGATGTTTTAATTTCAACACAACCTGCGGTACACTGTTTGGACTCACCTGGTCATTACTTGGTAATCGAACATTCCATACCCATTGTAGGGGTGACAGTTTGTAGAAATAGTTTTATAAATGCTAAACGAATATATTTCTCTAACAAACTTTATGAATTAACATTCTCCTATTTATTTAACATGTGTAAGTCTTATTAGTTTGTTAGCAATTACCCCTAGTAAATAATAAAAAAAATCAAAATAAATGTTTCTCCACCCCGAACTGGGATGTGGCAGAACTTGGCCTACATCACGGTCAATGGCTGCCAATGCTGTTGTTTACGTTATCCTACACGAAGCAAGATGACAACTCCAATCAATGATGTGGTTCAACATTAACCTGTAGATTTACTGGGAGTGAAAATGCTGGTACAATGTGGTTACGAATAGAACCGAGTATGACTGAACAGCTGCTTTTTAGGCTCCAGACATGCCAGCTATGTTGACACCAGGAATCTGCATGATTTGACCTGTGAATCTAATAGAAATAGTGGTTTGTGTATGATTTATTGTGCGTGTTCTGAAATGAATTTCATCAAGTTTGACATGCTTTGATTTCAGTTTTCGTTTTCGTGGCCTCTCGAAGGAAGGACTGTTTTCTGATGGATTTTCAAAACCCCTCCTGCCAAATCCTTATACTGGTGGTTGACGGAAATGGCAATGAATATCGAACACAAAAAGATTTGTAGACATGTTGTCATGAATAAAGTTTCTTCAAACACATTTGTATAATGCTATATTTTACTTTCATTGTCGGTTGTTTTAATGATGATCGAAATTACCTATTTCGAAAATGTCACGAACAGTTTCGTGAACATTTCATTTGTATGCAACAGATATTCCTTCGTAAAGTAAAATCATCGAATCAGGCAGGATTACGCCCTAGAACAACATATCATTGCCAGAAACATCTGATCTCAAACTACCATATTTCCTCTATCAGATGCTTGGCCGTCTATTAATTTATTGAGAGCCATTGACTTTTTGTTTGGAAAGGCTTACTATATATAAAACAATTTTCAGTAGCAAAAATAAAACCTCTTTTTAACCAATCAGAATCAAGCATTCTTCAATGTCATGGTAGAATTATTGCTAAATGTCATCGAACACTCAAAAAGATCAGTGTTGTAGGAAAATGTCTTCTTCTCTCAGCAAAACCTATTATAACTCACTTATGAAATCAGACCTAACTCCCGAAAAGAAAAACACTTTGAAATTAATGTTGGAAATGGAATCTGGACGTTATACTGGAATCCCACGGGAAATCTGTCAAATATGTCAACCAAATAAAAGATGAATTGCTCTTCTACTAGTGTGCCCCAAATGTCCCTAAGTTGAGCACTATACTTCGAAAAATACCTTGCATATGAACACGTATATGTACCATGCTGTGAAACTTCAGTACTCTCCCTTACGATTGTTATGTGGTCAGCCGTTCTACTGCATATATGCCAATATCGTTTCAATGTCAACACTCTGTAAAGCATATACTTTAGGCCTGATTCCTACAAGTTTGAATCAACCAATTTTTGTATTACACATTTGTTTGGCATCAAATTCAACAGTAGAATTTCTGAACCAATAAAACCAATTCTATACTATTCTCTTTCCATTCACTAATTCTCAGCAAAGAGAAAAGTCTTCTTTTTTGTATGGGTATTTTAACACATGATTGAAACTTTACCAATAACAGAAACAAACTGCGTATTCTATTTCAAAATGTTTTGGAGGTCTTTGCAATGTTTTTTCGATAATTGGTAAAAGGTTATGCCATAGAACCGTAATAATTTGAAGACATAAAGGGTTTGAATGTATATGCATATACGATTATCATCAATATGTTGTTTCCGAGGAGCATATATTTAAGAAACAACGCAATTTCAATTACCTCTGTTCTGTAACTGCTACTCTGATTAGAAAATGATGTATTTCATACTTAATATTATGAGTAAACATCATGACAGCCGGCTGTTCGCAAAGCAATATGCAAATGCAGAATGTTTGCAACAAGGAGGGGTTGGGGTTCAAAGATGCCAGACATATTGGACGCACTGCGTAAGATTAATGAAGCTGTCACCTCCCCTGTCTCCCACGCCAAATGGAGTTTCATTTTTTATTTCTGCGGGAAATTAGCCGGCACCAGAAAACCATGACTAAGATGTTTCGAATCAATAAACGACATGAGTGACTGGCAAAAGAACCTTAACATTTGGAAACAGAGATTATTATGCGGACCTGACATGTGAAACTGTATTTCTGCATGGTTAAATTGGCCACAGCTGTGGCAGTTTGACAGCACGGCCTGTGTAAAACAAATCAGCAAAATGTGGGAGAAGTCAACTCACGCCAAACTAGCAAACAGTCAAGCAAGACTTTGGACTTAAGTCGACCATCTTGTTTCAACCCGAGAACGCTGACCAGTGACATATGGATATATGACAGAATAGGTATCCTGAAAGACACGATATCACTAAGAAAGCATACGTGTCAAGGGTTATGGACTACTTTGGGTATATTCAAAATATTCGACGTCAGTATGTGTGATCAAGCATATTTCCATTGTGATCTGGGGTACAGAGATATGGCTCAACAGGATGACAAGCTGTGGGGTACTATTTTGTATGACAAATTACGCCATCACAATTGTAAACTAGATATTTTAACCATTTCGATGAAAGGAGAATTGAGGTTCAGCAAATTATTCATGCAGTCATCATATCCATATTTTTTTTTGAATTAACAACGAATTTAAAAATATTGGGTCAAAAGAACATCACGTTCTCAGGTCACGGATGATAATTTGACCTTACTTTTTCGTAATTACAGCTATACCATAAATAATGACACCAGCGTCCTTAGACATCTAATTTTACGAGAGGTTGCACTTGAAAAGTGGAACATTTTCAAATTCATGAGGGGGCACGGGTAAAAAAACCCCGCCCAGTCATCAAAGGCGCCGCGATTCGCTGTGCAGTGTAGCGTCCCTTGGGCAAGCCAGAAACCTATAATTGTGGGTTCGAATCCCGGTTCGCCCCGATTATGTTTCTAGGTCTGTCAGCACCATACCCGTGCTCGAGGGTTTCACCGAAGTTGTAAACGTCTGAGACCTGCATCACCCCGGGCTTTCCTCACAGATTAAGCTGACACGCCGTGATACAACTCGACTACTGTTAGAGCGGCGTTAAACCCAACTAACTCACTCACTCACTCAAACTCATGAGCATCGAACCTGCTACTTTCAAAATCGGAGGATTATCTCCAAATTTGTATCTGTTTACAACCTTGCTTTGACTACCTTAAAATCATTGTAGATATACTTCCTGTACACGAGTTTCCCTTCTTCTTGAAACAGAAGAAATACCCTCATTTTGTGTGGGCGATTGTTAGTCACATGGTACATCATATCCAGGCCTGACCAAAAGTTTCCTGAAACATATACATTGAGGCAATATAAGTACAACTTTATGAATAGTGAATGTCACCAGAATGTTAAATATATCCACCTTGTTGAAAGTTTATTGCTTGTTTAGTCGCAGAGTATTTTAGGACAAACAAGATGGTGAGATATTTTTTGTTATCAAATACCATTCTGAATAACTAAAAATGCATCTTAGCCAGTTTTCTGCATTACGATGTCATATGGATATGTGATTTTGAACTTAATCTAACTCTGATTACCCGTAGTCAGAGTGTTTGAAATTGGGGCGGATATGTCGTAACGTTTTTTTGTAAAAGCTGTTCTACTAAAGTGGTTACATAGAAAACACACGGGTTAAACGGGAACATTTAGACATCAACATTTAAATCAATCAACCAATCTGTGATAAGGAAATCCATATCTCCTCGGTGATCACTCACAAGCAAGCGATATTGCCTGTTGAAGCCTGTATTTGGATAACTTGTGGACGAGTAGCATAGTATTTACCACTGATGAACCTTCCAAATCATTTTTGTAGTCTTCTCGTGGTCGTGAAAAGCTTAAGTCGCTATCTTTATTTTATAAGAATCACAAGTCCTATCCTGTCACTACATTACCAATAACTTAAATTTAAATAAATACCTTGATCATTGAAGATTCCAAATCCATGTTTGTATTCTGCCCATGGACGTGAAAAGTTAACGTCGGCACGATCAAAACTTCGAGAAAGGAAGTATGTCCACCCAGGTGACCATCCATCCATATTACAAACAACCTTATAGGTCCGTGGAGCATTGTTGGGCTGGATGTGAAACATACTGGACTCTGTAAAATCTTTGTAATGATCAGTTTGGGCACCCTCAGTGCAATCTGTTTTAAAGGAAAAGGAAAGAAAACATATTGAATAATAACAATTCCTTATATACCATACACATTGATGAGAGTGAACCAACCTTATCTATCAACAATCTTGATGCAAAAAAGAAATAGTTTGCACTTAATCTAATCCAGGGTTCAATGGGGATATTCCCCGATCACGCTAGTTTCAACCTGCGTCAGTCACCCCACGTTCGTCTGTAGTTTTACATAAGGCAAACTAAGATTAATATGACAGACAGAGAGCTTAAATCAGAGTTAATGAAAAACCATTAATTCCCCATGAATTATTAATAATCCAAAATATTATCCCGTGAACTACGAACAAGGACATGTCAAAAACCTCTATATACTGTCAGCCTGGTATTATAAAAAAACCAAATCTGACACAGATTCTAATAGCATTATGCAAAAAGTAATAAAATACCTTGCATTAGTCGTCCACACCAAGCACCAATATAACCACCATAACATCTGCAGCCGTAGCTGTCATTCAGAAAGACTCCGTGGTAATGACAACTTGAGTGGTAGCCCTGGTACATATGAAATGCCGTTTTCAGAAAATGGAACCATATAATATTTGTAAACTCTCAGTTTCTGGTTATTTTGTAGGGAATCTTGAAATAGTTAACATATTGGTTACGTAGATTCATTCTCTCATTAACTCAATATTTTGTCATATCATGATATTTAATCCTAAATCCAATCTTGTCACAAGTATGGAATGGATATTGATATACTCACGTTAAAATGTCTGTACTGATTGTCGCATCCTGTACTCAACAGCCTCCTCTCACTGTTATGATAGCATGTTACATTGTTCCCGTCACGTGTAATGCTTATCGACTTGCATCTCTTATCCCCTGCGCACATGACTCCACATAGAGGAACGCTGACACCAGTAAGGGTGTAGTATGTTTCGGGGGTTTGAGTCGGGTCATAACAAGATTCAACACGGGAGAATTTCATATGTGAACGACAGTTCGGCATGGTTACAAATAAAAATACAATCCAAACGTATATTATTCCAGTCATTTTGACTTATCTACACACACTAAACTATGGTTGTTGCAGTACACGCGCAGCACATTCGCAAATGAGAGTCTAGATACCTGATTGGAATCTAGCAGCTTACAATTGAGAGTCAATCTGCTTGCACTGAATTTAACTTGACACACGTCAACAACATGATCGAACAAACAACGTGGCATCCGTACAAAGGACGGGACCAAAGTACAGGGTTTGTTTCTGTAGTTGCTACAGTGACTAAGATATTGCATAACGCTGTTGTGTTATGCCATTATGGTTGTGCTTAAGTTGAGACAACATCTATGACACTATAACCGTTGTTCAACATGATTGCAAATCATAGAAAAATCCAAACTTTATCGTTTACCCTTTCATACAGTTTTATGTACTTACACGAAACTATTGTTATTTTCCCTTAACGATCACGCGCACATAAAATACAATGCAAAGTTAATATTGAACTAATTTTGAAAACCAACATGATTGAACAACGTCTGTGGGTTACATTTGGAGGATGTGTGTGAATTCACATTGATTGTCATAGTTGATAGCAAACGTTGTCAATAGATATAACAAGCGAAATTGCATCCTTTTATGATTTCTTTGAAATAAATATTTGAATTCAATAGCCACATAAGAAGTTATTAAACATTATCGAGTTCCATGGTACAAATCAATGAACAAGTTGAGTCAGGCGTGTTTGAGAAATGTAAATGGCAACACTTGTGGAAAGTGTGTGGGTTTTCATATTCGTCGAGTGACACGACGGAATCAAATGACACGGTTCTTTCATAAGCAGGGACATCACCAGTTCTTGACTCTTCTGTTTGTGTATCGTCTGAAATGTAAACTCGTAAACGCCATGTGGTATGATGACTTCGCTCCCCTTTCTAATAATTACGAATAAGCATTTTTCAGCAAACAAATGTACCCGTGATATTCAGGGGTTCGAATAAATCTTCAGCAACCCATGCTTGTCATGAGAAGCGACTAACGGGATGTGGTGGTCAGGTTGATGAATGTCATCGTATTCCAATTGCGTAGATCGATGTTCATGATGTCAATCTCCGGATTGACTGGTCTCGACTCGGTTATTTACAGACCTCCGTAATATAGCTTGGAATAATGCGGAGTGCGGCGTTAAACAACAAACATAAAGCAAGGATTCAAAGCTATGATTTTTAATGTATTAACAAATGAGTGAGTGAGTTGGGTTTAACGCCGCTTTTAACAATATCGCGGCGTGTCAGCTTAATGTGGGAGGAAAGCCCGAAGTGATGCAGGTCTCAGACGTTTACCACTTCGGTGAAACCCACGAGCACGGGTATGGCGCTGACAAACCTAGAAACATAATCGGGGCGAACCGGGATTCGAACCCAAAATCATAGGTTTCTGGCGTGCCCAAGGGACGCAACTCTGCAGATCGAATCGCGGCGCCTTAGACGACTGGGCCACCCGTGCCCCCTATTAACAAATGCAAAAGGAATTTTATTGGTTGTTAATTTCAGGCTCGTTAGAATGACGTCACTTCCGGAACGTACTATCTTATTGATATATCAAAATAGAATGTGCCTTTATTACTTACCCATTGAAGATACCACTGTTAAGAATTATACAGCTGTATTACAAGTTGTATAATGCCTTTTACTACAAGCACGGGTTGCTGAAGACTTGAAGTGGTGTAGTAGCGGTGTTTCATTGAGGATGAAGATAGACCCCATAGGCATTAAAAATAGTAGTAATGTTTTATCAAAGATGAAGATAGAATACACAGGCAGTATAAATAATAGTGTTGCTTTATTGTTATGAAGATAAACTCCATAGGCATTATGAATAATAGTAAGGCTTTATTTGGATGGTGATATGTAAAGGAGTCACACCTTCACCATCTCCCAATGATTGTCAATTAGTATTCATTGCACCACCAACCCAAAACACACACACGCACACACACACACACACACACACACACACACACGCACGCACACACACACACACACACACGCACACACATATGGTTGGAATATTGCTGAGTGTGGCGTATAAGAACACCACGTGCGTAACCTAAACAATCCGTAACTTCTTTCTTAAATAAGCAAACAATCATATCAGTGAATCCCGGTGAAATGAACAAAGCGAACTGTATATTGCAAAGTGGTGTTGTAAGATTGCGTATTTTTTAGGCAAGAATCTTACAATGGAACATTCAATCTCTTTGATTATCGCCTTTCTTTTTTGTCAGTTAGTACCGGCAAATTAATACTTGAAGCATGTGCTGAATATATTAAAAATAAACTAAAGTATAAAATATATATAAGTAAATTATTTTATGACACCAGTGCGTCATAACACCACTGTTGCTGAGGTGCTGTATGTTGAAGCACGAACGTAAAACCTCCGTCTGAACGAAGACATATGGAACCTTTTAAGTCCAGTGGCGTTCACTATAGGCATCCTAGATAGTAATGACTTTTGTTTCTTTGCTTGTTGTTAAACGGCGCACTCAGCAATATTCAAGCTGCATAACGGCGGTCTGAAAATAATTCAGTATTGGCCAGACAATCCAGTGATTAACATCTGGAACATGTTCGTTATTTGTTTATTTGTTGTTTAACGCCGCACCCAGCAATATTCCAGCTATATGACGGCTGTCTGTAAATAATCGAGTCTGACCAGACAACTAGTGATTGAGATCATGAGAATCTATCCACGCATTTTGGATTGGTGACATGCATCAACCAAGTCAGCGAGCTTGACCACCCGATCCGTTAGTCGCCTATTACGACAAGCATAGTCGCCTTTTACTACAAGCACGGGTTGCTGAAGACTTGAAGTGGTGTAGTAGCGGTGTTTCATTGAGGATGAAGATAGACCCCATAGGCATTAAAAATAGTAGTAATGTTTTATCAAAGATGAAGATAGAATACACAGGCAGTATAAATAATAGTGTTGCTTTATTGTTATGAAGATAAACTCCATAGGCATTATGAATAATAGTAAGGCTTTATTTGGATGGTGATATGTAAAGGAGTCACACCTTCACCATCTCCCAATGATTGTCAATTAGTATTCATTGCACCACCAACTCAAAACACACACACGCACACACACACACACACACACACACACACACACACACACACATGGTTGAAATATTGCTGAGTGTTGCGTTGAACAACAAATAAACCAACAAACAATCATATTCAGATCTATATGACTGTATGACAAGAGGGATGACTTCAACTTTCCAATAGTCAACCGTCCCTTCATGCCGAGTAATATAACTACAGCCATTTTGTAACCTCGATCAAATAACTTTTGAGAAGAGTTGTATGACGCTCTTTGACATCATGGTAGAAAGGGCATGCTCGATTGTATCTCAGAAGTTGTAAAATGTATACACCAAAGGCTGGAGCTGCTGGACTATTGCTCGACATGAAGGAAAGTTGACTGGAAGGACCAATCGGATGACACTATCAATATCACGTGACAATCACAGGATCTAACAAACAACGTCGTCTGTTGTAACTGCAGTGGTTTGGCGGTTTAATCTATCTTCATCCTTATAACGCGGCTACCTTATATGGACATATGTACCCGCCGACGACTGAGATATATTAATGTCGAAAAAATAATATAATCACTATATTTCAGTGTATCTACCGATATTTAAGCAAACACGCGAGGCTGCAACACGCATCACCATATAGTTTCTATGGGACTGACATGAATGAAATAGCAGCGGTGGGGTAGCCGAGTGGTTAAAGCATTGGTTCGTCATGCCCAAGGCCCAGGTTCTATTCCCCACATGGGTACAATATGTAAAGGCCGTTTCTGGTGTTCCCATGATATTGCTGGAACAGAATCAAACCATATTCACCCTCTGGCACATTTTAATTAAAAAAGCATTGTATTGTGACAGTGACATGCGCCAACTCATATCCCTTCGTATATTTATACTGAAACCTGAAGAATGACTTACAGTTTGCAATGTATCAGTACAGTCCAAGTCACGTGTTTGTTGACCGTTTATTGCACTCAGTAATACTCCTGCTCTAGGACGGAAACCTGTACATAATTGAGTCTGGGACAGACAAACCAATGATTGATATAATGAGCAAGATATAATGCAGTCTGGGAACGATGACATGCAACCAACCAAATTGCTGAGCCTAACCATCAAATACATCAATGGATTCGTCATACACCTATGGATTGCTTAGAATCTTTTCTTTATGGGAGGGGGCGGTCGGGTAGCCTAGTGGTTAAAGCGTTCGCTCGTCACGCCGAAGACCCGTGTTCGATTCCCGACAATGGTACAATGTGTGAAGCCCATTTCTGGTGTCCCCCGCCGTGATATTGCATGAATATTGCTAAAAGCGGCGTAAAACCATACTCACTCACCCATATATATTAACTTGAGTATTCTGTAAAAGCCTTCAGTATGTAATTGGATTATCTTTTATTTCTGTGAATGCATCGTCCCTACGATTTGGAC